CTGTATACAAACTACTGCCAGCTGCTCCCTCTCTGTTGGACTTTGGTACTGCATGTTACTTCCACGATTTAGATCCGGGGCTTTTCATAAAACATCCGGGGCTTGAGCCCAAGTAGCCGGGCCTAACGCCGCCCCTGGGTGGAACACAGAGGTCTCTTGAGAGCTCCACAAGCCGGCAGCCGTGCAGCAGACAGGCGCCGCTGCGATCTGAGATGCGCCGAGCTGCCACTGAGGGGAGGGGACCGTACCAATAGTTGGAGCCCAGCTCCATCAACATGTTATATTTCAACCCATTTTCTAAAGTGCAGCATTATGTTAAATGCACTGGGTTTTACCCTATTACATTTAAATTTCACGGTTCAACAGTACATGTTAAAATCTAAGCTCAGCTCGGCAGTGACCTAAAATACATAAATATAATTTTACTTACCGAAAAAAATGAAGTGGAGACTCCTTAGATGCTCTGTTAGTGCAATTAATGCCACAGCAAGTCATTTTGTCCAACAATTGCACAAAAATATCCAAAAAGAGCGCACAAACGGCACAACTAATGGTCTAAGTTGAGAGACTGAAAATGGCGGAACAGTTTTCAGGCGAGGCCGAGGCTCAGACTGAGGCCTCTCCCCGGAGCTAGCTCTGTGGTCACGTGGGTCTGATGCTCATTAATTATTCAGAATTTTAGGCTTTTAATACACTTAAACAGAAGAGTGAGAAAAAAAATTCACCTCCCTCAGAGTTGTCATGAGTGTAAACTAGATCTATAAAACCTAAAACCAGGCTGTAAACATGTTTATTTCTGCTGTGAAATTGGTATTTTTAACATGGGAGTCAATGAGGATTTGCTCACTTCTGACACCAGCCCCTAGTGGATGAGGGTGGGACTGCAATTTATTTCACTTCCTGTTTTGCTTCATTTCCAGACCCGAATAATAGGGGGCTTGGTGCTGCCACGATTAGTCAATTCGTCACGATGACATGGACAAACAAAATAGTTGACTATAAACTAAATGTTACATCCCCCTCCATTGTCTTGGAGGTTCTGAGGGGAATGTCCACATTAGATTTGTCTTTGATGATATTAAGAATGAAAAGAGTTTAACAAACGTGATGTTTAAAGGCTTAGAAAAGGATTTAATATACTCTTAAAACAGGTCAGGTACAAAAAGCAGCTCTCAAAATTAGAGAGGGGAAACAGAGGTGCACTAATTTTTTTTATCTTTTTTTTTCATTTATTGATAATAATAATAATACATTTTATTTAAAAGCGCCTTTCAGGACACCCAAGGTCACTTTACACAAAACACGTAATGAAATACAATAAAACAATAATAAAACCCAAAGAAGAAAAAACAAAGAGAGAAACAGTTCAATAAAATCAGAGGTTGTAGGCAGATTTAAACATATGTGTTTTGAGTTTTGTTTTGAAAAGGGTAAAACTGTCGATGTTCCTGATGTCTGGGGGAAGTGAGTTCCAGAGTCGAGGAGCAGAGCGGCTGAAAGCTCTGCTCCCCATGGTAGCGAGACGGGCAGAAGGAGCCGCAAGATGGATGGAAGAAGAAGATCTGAGTGAACGGGACGGGGTGTGAATACTTATAAGGTCTGAGATATATGGAGGAGAGAGGTTGTGGATTGCTTTGAAGGTATGGAGGAGAATTTTGAAGATGGACCTGAATTTAACTGGGAGCCAGTGAAGCTGCTGGAGAACCGGTGTGATGTGGTGAAAGGAAGGGGTTCTGGTGATAATACGGGCTGCTGAATTCTGGACCAGTTGCAGTTTATGAAGGAGTTTGTTGGGGAGACCATAAAGAAGTTAATTGCAATAGTCGATACGGGAGGTGACGAGGCTGTGGACGAGAATGGCGGCAGTGTGAGGGGTCAGTGAGGGACGGAGACGGTTTATGGAACGTAGATGGAAGTATGCTGACCGAATTAAGTTATTAATGTGAGCCTGAAAAGAAAGTGAGCTGTCGAGAATGACACCCAGACTCTTGACGTGAGGTGAGGGGGAGACTATGGCGCTGTCAATAGTTAAAGAAAAGCTGTCAGATGTTGAGAGGGTGGAGTTAGTGCCAACTAGAAGAAGTTCAGTTTTATTGCCGTTGAGTTTGAGGAAATTAGAGGTGAACCATGATTTGATTTCAGAGAGGCAGAGTGTAAGGGAGGATGGTGGGAGAGTTGAGTTGGGCTTACTGGAAATGTAGAGCTGGGTGTCATCTGCAAAGCAGTGAAACTGGATATTGAATTTGCGGAAGATTTTGCCGATAGGGAGGAGATATACAATGAAGAGGAGGGGCCCCAGGACAGAGCCCTGGGGCACACCTGACTTGACTGGGGAGGGTTCTGAGGTAAAGGATTTTAACTGGATGAACTTAGTGTGGCCAGTAAGGTAAGATTGAAACCAGCGGAGGGGGGTGTGAGTGATGCCTAAGGAAGATTCTATTAAGAAGTCTATTAAGGAGGATGGGATGAGAAATGGTGTCAAAGGCTGCACTCAGATCGAGGAGAATAAGAATAGAGATTAAACCAGAATCAGCAGCAATGAGTAGGTCGTTAGTGATCTTGATGAGAGCTGTTTCTGTGCTGTGGTGGGAACGGAAGCCAGACTGAACTGTTCATAAAGGTTATTGTGGGTGAGATGTGAATGGAGCTGAGATGCAACAGTTTTCTCAAGGACTTTGGAAATGAAGGGAAGATGGGAAATGGGACGGAGGTTATTGAAATCATTGGGATCTAAACCAGGTTTTTTTAGAATAGGGCTGACTGAAGCGGATTTGAATAGGAATGGGACCGTATCAGAGGATAGTGAGGAATGAATAATGGCTGTTATAAAAGGGAGCAGAGAAGAAAGGCACGATTTAACTAAAACAGTTGGAATAGGGTCCAGTTGACAGGTGGAAGGTTTGGATTTGGTGATGTAATCTACTAGTTCTGAGGGATGGGGAAGTTTAAAGGAGGAGAACTGAATGGTGGGTTCAAATAAATCAGGAGAGGGAGGGGAGGAATGAGGTAAAGAGAGATGGATTCTATTGACCTTATCATTAAAAAACTGAAGGAGAGAGTTACAGGTTTCTGAAGAGTAAAGATGGATGGGTAAGGAGTCGGGAGGCTGAAAAATGCTGTTCATGATGGAAAATAATGTTTTAGTGTTGCTGGAGTTGGATGAGATGAGACCGGAGTAATACTGAGATTTGGCATGGGAGATGGAGTCCTTGTAGAGAGAAATCTGAGCAGAATATAAGTCTTTATGGATGGTGAGACCGGTTTTCTTGTAGAGTCTTTCAAGCCTCCGGTTGGTAGCTTTCAAGGAGCGTAGGGCAGGGGTGAACCATGGAGCAGACCGAGTAAAATATACAGAGCGGGATTTGATGGGAGCAAATGAATTAAGGAAAGAAACCAGACCGTTATTGTACTGAATGACAAGATCATCGGGAGTAGAGGACAAATTAGGGGTCAAGGTGGCAAAACTGGAGGACAGGGAGGCTAGATCAATGTCCTTAATATTACGAAAAGAAATGATACGTGGTGACTTGATGATGGAGAGACGGAGGGGAACAGAAAAGGAGATGAGGAAGTGGTCCGTGAAAGGGAGCGGGTCAGCTGTACAGTTGGAGGGGATCAGGCCGGAGCAGCAGATTAAATCCAGGGTGTGACCTTTAATGTGAGTGAGAAATTTGGCATATTGATGAAAACTGAGGCTGTCCAAAGATGAGGAGAAGTCTTTGCTGAGGGGGAGGGCCGTATTGTCCATATGAATATTACAATCACCAAGTAAAATTACATTTGGGGAAAGGGCGGACAGATGGGATAAAAGAGCAGAGAGTTCATTTAAAAACTCAGGGCTGAACTTGGGGGGGATGATAAACAGTGACAATTATTGTGGGGGTCGGGCCGGAGAGTTGACAGGCGAGGCATTCCAGAGTGGTGAGAGGAGGAAGGCTTACGGGAAGGACCTTCCAAGTCTCGCGATAGAGTATCGCGAGACCGCCGCCGCGGCCCGACCCACGGGGTTTGGAGAGGTAAACAAATCCGGGAGGAGTACAGTCATTGAGTTGTGAGAAATCGCTGGGTTGTTGCCATGTTTCATTCAGACAAAGAAAGTCTAGCTTATGGTCACTGATGGTATCTTGGAGGAGATGTCCTTTACCAGAGAGGGAGCGAATGTTGAGAAGACCAAAATTAGCAGTGCGGAAGTCCCTGGCGACAGGAGCATTAGCCCCACTAGCCAGCTGGGCTAACACGCTGGAGTCGGCAGCTAGGCAGGTATTCCTGGGTAGCCGCCGGCTAGTCGTGGACCAGAAGGAGGGTATTCCTTTGGAGCCGTCGAGATGGAGGTTCCGCCGGGACCCCCGATGGATATACCGACGGCGAGGCTGGAAGGTGATGTCGGGGAAGAGGCACAGAGCTGGTGGTGGAGATCCGGAGTAGTGAAAGCGGATGTTTAGTTTAATTTTTTTCATCTGTTTGCATCACTTCTATCATCTGCTCAACATTATCTCCTGAATAATAAAAAGTTGTATCATCAGCAAAGAAGGTGTATTTTAATATATTGGATACCTCAACAATGTCATTTATATAAATGATAAATAGTTTAGGGCCCAATACCAACCCTTGTGGTCAAGGCCGGATTAACCATATGGGAAACTGGGCAATTGCAAGTGCATAAACCACTGGACTACCATAGCTAATACAGCAACTGACTCACCTCAGATGCTCTTGTCAGCACATTTTGTCAGAGCAAGCATGGGCAGTTTCATTGAAGCAAATTGTTTTATTTCTAGGTATAAATTCAGGCTGATGAAAAAAAAAACTCATTTAAGATAAATGACATCTCCATAGTTCCAATGGTAATATTCATCATATATTGTGCCTACTTTTGAGAGCAAAGGTAGGCACATTATATGATATTTAAAATAGCATGATATTGAACCTTTAATTCCATTTTAACAAACAATGATGATTGCTGAACTGTTCTATTTATATCTTTCCCTTTGTCTTCAAAGCTCCAAGAGAAGTTTGGCTGGGACGCCTTTAAGAAGGTGTTTGCAGCCTACCATCAAATGAGCAACTTCCCCAACAACAACCATGAAAAGATGAATCTGTACGCCGAGACTTTCTCCCAGACCGTGGGCATGAACCTGGCTGGATTCTTTAGAGCCTGGGGTTGGCCCATTGAAATGAACACTGAACAGAAACTATCCAGCCTGCCGCCCTGGAGTGATCATCCCATGGTCCAGTACGGCTGAATGCCACTCTGCTGGACGACCCCACCCTGATGACCATCTCATCAAACTACATATATTTTGGGTAGGGAACACGATATATTGGCATCAAAATTGGTATCGGCCGATGTTAGTAATTTTTCAACATATCAGTATCGGCCCGATAAATAAAACTGGGCCGACTCTAACAACCAATAGTTTTTCCATCTTGTTTCCATTTGTTTATCTGTTTCAGAGGGTGATGGGTGTATTTGTTTAGTCATGTGACAGTAATTGTAGTCATCTCAGAAGAGTAAATGTGTGTGGTGTGTCTGCATAAAAATGTAAATTCAGCTTTAATAATTTTCATTCTATACAAAATCTGCTGAATTTAGATGCATTAACCCTCTCAAGCTCAAAATAAGTTTTGATAAAAGGACGAACAACTAAGTCCTTCAGGGGTACTTCTGAGTTTAAAAAATACTCATGAAATACGTATGTGGAGTAACCAGGAAGGTTTTAACATTGCAAATCTGCAAAGCCTGCCTCAACAGGGTTAACATTAGTATATCAGTATCTGCAAATATTGGTTATCAGCCATAACAGTGATATTAATATTGAATATTTGTATTGGCCCAAATATTTCATATCTGTGCATCACTAATTTTGGGAGATTAAGTAGTTTTGTTCTATATTTGGTTGTTTGAACTATATTTCACAGAGAAGCATTACATAAAATATTTACAATGACATTGTCTTTCATTGATGGGTAACGTGTTTAGGAACAATCAATCATCTTATGGCACATTGAGTTTTTTTATTTTTACAGCAACGGTAAAGGTCGTAGGCAGAAAAGGGTCATAATTTAAATACAGTTATAAACGATGCATCTCAGAGTAAAATTAAGTTGGGTTTTGTGAAGGGTAAACTGCTTTTTGTCACAGAAAACAAACAACACAATAAACAATTACATTTATTTTATTTTTTTACTTTTCTCCTGTCTACAGCTCTTCAGTGCACTGTCCATTCCCGGATAGTGAGATTCGCTGAGATTGGTGACCAAGTGTGAGATATTGCTTAGATGCTTTGATGGGAATCTTTTCTTAATTTATTTAGTTACATCCACGATCAGGGTGAAGTTGCCTTTTAAGGGGTGGGTGCTCAACAAATAGAGCAAGATTTTTAAACAGATCCACAATTCAACAAGTCTAAAAATTCAGTTCATGAGAGACCCTTGGGTTCAAACAACATAATACAAACTAGGAAAAATATTTCATTTGGTGTTAATAATTGAAGGTAATGTTATTTCTTTAAAAATTGTTTTAGTTTTTAAAGACACACTCATGAACTTTGCAGATATATACTCTGTTGCCCTTTCCAGGCTTGCTGCATAACGTCACTGTTGTAAAATCAAATCTCTCTGGCATGCATAACAGGCATGTTTACCGGCTTTTTTCCAACTCTTGTGTCCAATCAAACACTTTTCAGCATTGAATAAAGTTTTATCAGACTTTATGCCCGATCAAACACAATAACCCTGGTGAAATCATTTATTACTTACCTATCCATTAGCAGCACCGCCAGGTCAGAGTCCATAGTACCACAGACATATACGTGGACACCCCATGGACTGGTGCTGCCGTAGTGTTCGGCCACCATTTTACGAGGGTCTCCATTTGCCCCCGGTGCATTAATTTCTACTAAGGAAGGTGCTACCCAACTAAAAACACATTTTATCATGCTTTTTCACAAAATCAGACAGTTGTTGCTCACTCTGCATTAACTTTATACTTTTCCACTGTCACTGCTTTGGAGAGCGAGACCCATCCAATATGGCGGCGATGCTGTTACGCTATCCAGCGCCTGATGGGGTATTTACATATTCATTTATATGGGGTCTACGTCTACATGATACTGCCGTAAAGCAACACGCAGTCAGTAGAAAATCTGTATAGTGACCCCATAACAATATCACAGCTCCGAAAATGAACATATGCCGCCAAAACTTTCCAAAAAGTATTTTTTTAATGTGTAAAAGTTGCAGAATGGAGCTTTAAAGCTGACTTATATCTAAACATGTTACGACCACATTTTTTGCCACTAATCCGAGTCCAAGTTGTTTAATTTTTGATTATCTTCCAATACTAAGTCTTTTTCCAATACAAGGTGGTAATGCAATGCATTATAAAAAGAAGAAAAAAAGGGAGAACACATCCAAAATGTCCCATCTGTATTTGTCATTTTGGTATAGTGACCCTGTTTCTCTTTATTTAGCTTCCATACATTTTTGAACCATTTAAGCTTCTTAAAATTTTCTGCTATTTAAGCAAATTTGGTATTAAAAAGTTCAGCTCGTTAAGCTTTTTCGGGGCATTTCGTTTGGCATTGATTACTTTAATATTTTCTGAGATATTCAGCTTTGTCTGCTGCTTTTTTTCATTGAATATAGTGGGATCGCTCAATTTGCCTCCCTTTTTGCTTACTGTTGGAGTCAAGCAGGTGTACTGATATTGATGAGAGGCCTTTGGATCTGTCCTTCAGAAGTCAATTCGGATCCATCAAACTTCTCACCACCATTCGATAATTCTAATAATAATAAATGCTGAAAAATAGTAATGATAAAAAACCTAGTAATGCTGATCATGCTGATGATCATGATAATAATTGTTGAGAGGAGACTCAGGGCAGACTCCCTGATTACATGATTCGAGCCTGAGCCAAGCTCCTCTCTGTGTGGAAACCTCTGACCTCCAGCCCTACTGACCCCACCCCACCCCACCCACCCCCACCCCCACCCCCACCCAGAGCACCCAGCTCTGCGGAGAGGAGCAAGCTGACTGGGTTTATCGCAACCAAGACAGCACGCCTGACTTCTCAGAAACCAGAGCATGGAATCTAAAAACAACTGCATGTGTGAAGAGTACAGGAAGGAAAGAGGAGGGGGGCTTCCTGCTGCCTGAGCGAAGAAGCGTTAAACCACAAAGATCACACTTGAAGAAAGGGGGTCTGCAAAGGTGGAGGAGGAGTTGTTGTGGTGCAAAAATAAAATGAGTCTTCCTGTTAAGAAGTTGATCTTTGATTCGAGACAGTAATAAAAAACAAAACAGCCCGGAAGAATGAGAAAAAATTGTGATGCATGAAGGTGGGAGGGGTGGAATAAAAGTGATTGTTGGTTCTTATCAGGGTGGTGGTTGCTGCTGGGTCTGAAAATGTGTGTTTTAACATAGAGAGAGCTTGATCTCCTTGGATCTGCTAGAATCTCGGGTATTTTGATAAGAACTTTTCCTATTTAGCCTAAGCTGTTCCCTGTGTTGGATTACCTTTTTTCCTTTTTGTGTGTGGAATAAACTTTTCCCTCCTTCGGGAAGGAATTAAAAGTAATTTGTGGGGGCCTCCTTTCCTTCTTTGGCACAGCAAAAGGTGAGTTTACTGGTTTCTTGATTCCATCCCATTTGGAACTCAAAAGTATTCAAAATCCAATAAATAAATAAGACATTATGAAATAAATATCTACATGAAGAAATACTAGACAAGTAATCTGACAATGAAATAACAGAATGTTATGTAAAATCTAAGCTCATTATTATGAAATATTTTTCATTCTTTTAAAATGTCTATTATAAACTTTTTTCAAAAGTCATTTTTTCTAAATAATCCAAATATTGAGCTACCTTTACTTAATTCATTCAGTTTTTATTACATAACGTCTTTTTAACAAAGACAGCTTTTATTTCATAAAAGTGTTTTTTCCCGTGATTGATTTATTTCATAATGAGACTTTACAGCTGAATGTCTCAGTCCGTCAGTCAAGCCAGTGGGTGTGACCTGTAACACCATTGGTTAATCCTTAACATCGTTTGGTTTTCCTGGATTTCTCTGTAATAGGACAAGGCTATCCCAGCATGCTTTACGCCGGCTGTAGACTTTCAACAGGAAAAGAAAATGGGGAGAGCTACTAAGTTTTAAACGTAAGTTTGTCTGTAAACTAGCGATAGAAAACTAAGAAGCTTAAAGCAGTTCTGTTTATAGACATTTTTTGTTTGTGTATTTGTTTTTAAATTACATTTTAGACAGAAATCAGTCAGAACGAGCTTGTATCGCGGGTCCCGTAGTTATTCCTGTTTGTGTGTGTGTGTGTGTGTGTGTGTGTCGAATTAAACTTGTCATTTGTTTTAGGGACAACAGAGCGTTTTTATTAAGCTTAGAGGTGAAGAGTGAAGCCGTTTACACGAGTACAGTAGTTCTTCTGTGTTCTGCTGTGAAAAGTAGTTTTACATTCAGGGATTTACACAGTTGACACGTTATAATGAAGTTAAAAATGTTTGTGTGAAGAATATAATTTTTATCTTCTCATGTGGAGAAATGTAAAAATGTGTTGATTGCCTTCAATGAAAGAGCAAAGTCAATGACGACTACAGACCGGTTGCTCTGACATCCCACATCATGAAGGTCCTGGAGAGACTCCTGTTGGTCCACCTGAATAAGCAAACTAGAAAATATCAGGACCCACTGCAGTTTGCTTATCATCATGGAGTTGGGAGTTGAAGATGCCATCATCCAGCTGCTTCAACCAACCCACTGTCATCTGGACAAAGCAGGCAGCACTGTGAGGGTCATGTTCTTTGATTTCTCCAGTGCATTTAACACAATCCAGCCTGATGTACTTTGCCAGAAACTCCAGAAGACACAGTTGGAGGCCTCAACTATCGCCTGGATTAAAGACTACCTGACAAACAGTCCACAGTTTGTGAGGCTGAAGAACTGCACATCAAACCAGGCGATCAGTAACATTGGAGCACCACAGGGGACTGTACTCTCACCATTCCTTTTCACCCTGTACACCTCAGACTTCCAGTACAAATCAGAGACCTGTCATCTACAGAAATACTCAGATGACTCTGCAGTTGTCAGGTGTATCAGAGATGGACAGGAAGCTGAGTACAGAGAGCTGGTGGAGCGCTTTGTGGCATGGCGTAGAAACAATCATCTGACCTTGAACGTGAACAAAACAAAGGAGATGATTTTAGACTTCAGAAGAAACAGGGTGGAGTCAAACACTGTTTCCATCATGGGAGAAGAAGTGGAGGTGGTTGAGGAATACAAATACCTTGGAGTTCACCTGGACAACAGACTGGACTGGAGAAAGAACAGCGAAGCTGTTTACAAGAAGGGACACAGCAGACTGCACCTCTTGAGGACGCTTAGGTCCTTCAATGTCTGTAGCAAGATGCTGCAGATCTTCTACAAGTCTGTTGTTGAGAGTGTAATCTCTTCAGCCATCGTCTGTTGGGGTAGTAGCATCAGAAGCAGGGACCTGAAAAGGCTCAACAGCCTAATAAAAAAGGCTGGTTCTGTTCTGGGGACGACTTTGGAACCACTGGAGGAGATAATGCAAAGAAGGATTCTCCAGAGAATCAAGAACATGATGGACAACCCTGAGCATTCTCTTCACAAGACTGTCCGACAACGGAAGAGTGTCTTCAGTCAGAGGCTTCTTCAGTTTGGCTGCAACACTGACCGCTACTGGAGATCCTTCCTGCCAACAGCCATTGTAATATACAGGGGCGGTTCTAGACCAAATTTTCCAGGGGGGCCACAGTGGGGCCAGTATTTTTTCATGGGGGCGTAAGAAAAAAAAATCATAATAAGAGACAATGAACAAGTAAACTATTACGGCGAATGCAGTAATGGTTTACTTGTGAAAGTAAAACTGGCATGTTTTTATGGTACTCAGATAACAATTCTGAATGCTTCACCGCAACACGAGACTTGAGTAAAAAAAATAATTCTAGTTGATTATTATGGTTTGTGACTTTATTTGAAGATTATATGAACTGTACATATGAAAAATAAACATTGAAACAAATAAAATATCTGCACAATACAATTTGCTTTTTGTAGTCAACACACACACACACACACACACACACACACACACACACGTAAGCAAAATCACTTCACCAATTGTTTTGATATACTCACGATTTTCTTTAACGTTTTACTGTGTTCCTTGTCGAGTATATTAGCCAATGTTGTATTAGCTTCCACAGCCCTCTGGTAGTCCCTCCACGCTGTCATTGAATCCTTATGCCTTTCAGACTTTGCATGTACTGAACCCCCCTCCTCTCTCAGTTGCTTTTTTCCAGTTCCTAAATCCACATGGTGAGTCAAACACACTTCCTGCGCTACTTGGTGAGCTAAAATGTCTGCATGCATGACAATAAGTAGAGTCCATAGTAACAGAATATTCAACCCAAGGATGACTTTCATACCAGCTTGGCTGAAAGCTGCGTCTTCTGTCTCCTATTAATGTCACTGGAAATGCCCTCAAATGAGGCTGAGTAGGTGGGTCATCCTTGCACTTGCTGATATCTGAAAGAAAATAAATGTTAGCACGAGGATAAAAGCCATAATTAGTTAATTCAGAGTCTTATTTTATCTGTTTATTAAATATAAACAACAGAAATTTTGGTCCAGAGTCAGCATGCCTCAAATGCATTTTACACACAATATGAGCTGCAATCACAG